GTGTGTGTGTGTGTGTGTGTGTGTGGCCAGCTCAGCCCACCAGGGGGCGCGGCTGGCTGGCATGTGGTGCTGGAGGATTGAACTGCGGTCCCTGTGCTTTGCCAACCTTGTTCCAAGTAGGTGCTTTAGACCACTGAGCCATCTCTCCAGCCCCAGAACACATTGTCTTAGTAATTGGAAGTATTGGTTTTGTAATGGTATGTAGAAAGTAAGGTGTATTTTAAAATTGTTGACCTTTTAGATTCACTGAAATACAGTTGGCAACAATTCGATGAATCTAGGAACCATGAAGTAGCAGTTTCTACTTTGCCAGAGACCCAAAGACTGATGCCAAAGTGTATTTTGAACATAAGAAAAAACAATGGAGCACTCTGGGAGCTGAGGCAGGAAGAACAGAGGTGTGGCTCTGTGCAAAGGTCCTGGGTTCAATCTGTAATCCCACAGAAAAAAGGGCAAACCATGGAGGACAAGTATATGAAATGTGTTACGGCGCCCAGCCATGGGCCCCCTTCCCCCGCACCACTTCCAGTGTTCCCGGATGCCCCACCCACAACTGTGCTGCAAAGATTTAGCCATGACTGTCTGCATCCGGCTGCTTACGTATATAGCTTTGTTTCAGCCTGCTTCAAGGACTGTGTACTTTGTGCCCAGAACGCCATGGGCCAGCCAGAGATACTTCATGACTCCCTTTCCCCATTCCCACTGCTCTATAAAGTGCCCACCTCCCCAGCCCAGCCATGGCTGCTGTTCAGGTCCCCCGAGCCGCCCAGTTCATGCTAGTTGCTGCCAACAAACCACTCTCTTCATGCCAGCTAACTTGAGTGTGGTCTTGTGTGGGTTCGAGGGCGCCTTTTCCTGTCAAAATGCACACTGGTACTCAGGAAATTGGGCTTTGGCTGGGGCTCAGTGATAGAGCTTTTTCCTGAGTTCTCCCCAGTACCCACTCCCCAAAAAAAGGAAATTGGGAAATTAACTTTTTCTTTTCTTTTTTTTTTTTTTTTTTTTTTTTGGCAGAGCTGGGGATTGAACTCAAGCCCTTGCACTTGCCAGGGAAGCGCTTATTCCACTAAGCCATCTCCCCGGCCTGAGATTAACATTTATTAAAGAACTCAGAAGAGTGAGAGATACAGGAGTCCAGCAAGTCCTCAGGGCCTCTAGGATCTCAGCTGGGAAGAAACAGCCAGTGCCGGCCCTCTGGGAATGAGGGTGCTGCCCACAGCGGGGTTAGGGGGTTCAAAGGGGAGCCTTGTTCTAGGGGTGGGGACAGCTGAGGTGACCAGACAAGGAGTAGAAGTAGGACCCCACACTGGGTCTTCCTCAAGCTCGAGCCCGGGCCCTGCGGCGCCTCCTGCAGGCCTCTGGTTCACCCTGGCCGCCTCCCTCCCTCTAGCTAAGCTGCCCAAGCCGCTCTGAGTTACCACACGTTCCCCTCTGCTGCTTTCATTCCCTAATACCTAGGTTACTATTTTGTAGGGTCAGTTCCCTTTATAAAACAGCAGCTGTGTGTGTTCTTTTGCTGACTGGACTCATTGATACAGGTGATCTGATTTGCATTTTCTAATATATTAGTCTTTCCTCTGTACCACCCCCCCAAGACCCCCAGTGTAGGGGATTGAACCCAGGGCCTTCACACTGAGCTATGTCCCCAGCCTGTTCTTTTTGAGACAAGATCTCTAAGTCACCAAAGTGCCCCACATGGGTGTGGATTTGCAATCCTCCTACCTTAGCCTCTCAAGATTGCTGGGGTTGCAGGCAGGCACCACCCCAGGCTGCTTCATTTTTTATTTTTTATTTTTGGTCTTTTTGAAGCCAACCTCCTGCTTCCTGAGTGCTGGGATTGCAGGCATACACCACCACCCAGCTGCATACTGACTGTGTGTCTGGGGGAGGATTTTTTGGTACCAGAAAACAAATTCAAGCACCTTGTGCTTGCCAGGCAGGTGCTTGTGCTATTGAGCTGTCTCCTTAGCTCATGCTGTTTGCTTTAACTGTCTACCTGCGATTTATGAGCTGTGATCCACCTTTTGCCTTCCTTGGATTTTTATTAGTTTTCTTCACTTTCAGGTCCATAATTTATAAAATATGTGTGGTTTTCATACCTTGCTGGTTTTGCTGAGCTACCTTTCTCATCTTATTGATTGTTACTAAAAGATGCATAGAGTTTAAAGTCCTGACATAAGTGGTAGGGGTAGGTGGCCCCACATCAAGAATCCAAAGCAAATATGGGTTAAGTGTGTATAAATAGAACTTGGTGACTTTCCACAGCATTTGTTAGGGAAATGCATAGCGGCTAGATCAGGGTTTCTTTCTGGCTTTTTTTTTTTTTTTTTTTTTTTTTTTTTTTGGTACAGGATCTCACTACACAGCTCAGACTTGTAGTGATCCTTGTGTTGTCAGTACTGGGATTACATGCATGCGCCACCACGCCCAGACTCGGTTGCCAGTTCAGCCTGTGGCGCTCTATGCTTGCCTAAGCAGGCGCTAGTCCACTGAGCTGTCTCACCGGCCCTAAGTCAGGATTTTGTTTTGTTCTTGTTTCCGTGTTTTACAAAGCTGGTTTGGATAGGAGTACAGCCTATGAGTGGAACCAGTGCGTAGCACTTGAGGCCCACAGTTAGCCCCTCAAACAAAGAAAAACCTGACTTCTAGAGAAGCAGCGGACAATTCTGATGTACTATTTCAAGTTTGTGTGTTTGTTTGGCGGGATTATTGAGACAGGGTCTCCTTATGTAGTGCAGGCTGGCCTTAAACTCACTGCTGTCTGCCTCAGCTTCCTGAGTGCTGGGATTACAGGTGTATACCGCAAGGCCAGGCCGCTTCAATTTTCTATGCAGTTGCAGATATATTTATTTAAAAAAAAAAAAAAAAAAACGAATGAGAAAACACCAAGGGGCCGGGGAGATGGCTCAGTAGAATAAGCGCTTGCCTGGGCCTGAGTTCAATCCCCAGTTCCACCAAGAGAAAAAAGAAAAAAGAAAACACCAGTAACAAAATGAGACAGATGGGGACTGATGGCTGCTCGGCCTTTTGGATAAGATCAAGTGTGGACACTGACTGATGTCATTGGCACTTCACATTCCTGTTCTGCCCTCTATGTGAACCCCAAGTACGGAGCGGAGGGGCCTCGCGTGCTGCGTGCCTGGCCCACTCCTGACCCACCCACACCTCCTAGCTGCCCTTCTGTCTTTCCACGTTGGGGATGACGCCTCCGTAGGCCAAGACAGTGGGTCACCATGTACTTGCAGCCGCAGTGCGGACTCTTCCAGACTTATTAAAGACAAGGGTCCCGGGCTCTCTTTGGGTTTCCTAGACTCGAGAAGAAGACAGGAACCAGGATGGAAAGACAGACGTGCTGTATTTTAAACTGGAGCTTCCCCTGCAGGCCACAGAGCAGGTCCTCGGCGTGCAGCTCATCCTGACCTTCTCTTACCAGCTGCACGTGAGTCGGTGCTGAGCCGAGCCCCCTCTCCCTTTTGCCTTTTAATAAAGTAGAGCCCGCCTTCTGCTTTTTAGGAAGACCCACCCTATCCTGGGCTTTCCCTGGGAATTTAATTGAGACAAATGGGATATTCTTGACTGGAACCCTAGTAATTTACACAAATGAGAAATAGCTCAGAGGGTTCTGGGCGGAGGGTTTCCCACAGAACTGAGCTGAACCAGGCATGTAAAGACGGCCCCAGGCGCAGGCAGGTGCCACCTGAACTAGAGCCCTTCAGATCTGACAGCAGTTGGCATTGCCTGTCCTCCTCCTGATTTCCAGAGGATGTCAACGTTCGTGATGCAGAGCATGGCCTTTGTCCAGTCCTCCTGCGCAGTTCCTGGGTCCCAGCTGTACGTGAACGGAGACCTGAGGCTGCAGCAGAAGCAGCCACTAAGCTACAGTGGCCTGGATGTCCGGTACAACGTAAGGGTGCCCAGCATCCAGCTCCGCGGTCTCTGTCTGTTTAGCATCTTCTCTGAAGAGGGACAAATGAAAGCTGGAAGTGCCATTTCCCTGTGGGTAACACAGACAGAGATTCTTGGCATGAATTCTTTCAAAATATGGAGAAAGTCCACCTGTGTTTACACCTATGCAGGGAGAGGGAAATGTTTTTATTGATGAACTAAATTGCTTATTGCTTTCCAAATGTTCATATTTTAAAAATAATTGCTGAGGGCCGGCCAACTAGCTCAGTGGATTAAAGCACCTGCACAGTGGCCAGGCGTCCGATCCCGGGGGCACACTGAGATGCAACTAAGACTGGGTGTGGTGGTGCGCACCTTAATCCTAGCTCTTGGGAGGCTATAAATAGGTGGATCACTACAATTCTAATTTAGTAGTGAGACCCTGAACACCCTGTAAACCCTTCCCTAAAAAAAAATACGAGAAAAAAAAATAATCTCCAGGCATGGTGGCACATGCCTATAGTCCCAGTACTTGGGAGGCTGAGGCAGGAGGATCATTCCAAGTTCAAGATCAGCCTGGGCTAAAAAGTGAGCTCTAGGCCATCGTAAGCTGAATGACAAGACCCTGTCTCAAAAAGACAAAATAATAATAATAATAATAATAATGGCCACCATTTATTGAACCTGTGATATGTCAGCCCTTAGGAAGTTTACAGTTGGGTGCGGCAGGGTACACCTGTAGCCCCAACCCTCAGGAGGCTTAAGGGGAAGGGCTTTTTGAGAGGAGCCTGGGCATCATTGCAAGACCCCAGTAGTAAGGAAGAAGAAAAAGTTTACACATATCTTATTTGCTCACTCCAGCAACCTGCTGGGGACCCTGTGCTGGTCAGTTCTCAGCTCTCGGCTGTCTGTCCATACCATCCCTCCCTGTGTCCCAGCCACACTGGCCCCTTTGTTGTTCTTGGAACCCATGAACAGCGGCTTGCCTTCCCTCTGCCAGGTGTCCATAGCTTATTGGGCAGCTCGTTCTGGTCCCCAAGCAAGGTCCTTCCCTGACCCTCTTCCCCAGACAGGCTTCCCCCTTCTTCCAGTGCCCCCCTGCAGAGAGGTAAATCTGACATCCTGAAGATCAGTTCCTGCTGTGTTTGGTTTCTGTCTCAGCAATAAAAGTGCTGCTGCGAAAGTGCTGTCACCCAGGCTGAGGGGGAGGGAGGGGCCCTGGTTCTCCAGTGTCACCCAGGACATCCTGTTGTCCTAGGTATCTGTGATCCATGGGACCAGCCCTTTCGCCCAGGACTATGACCTCACCCGCATTGTGGCCGCCTACCAGGAAAGGAATGGTGAGTTCAGAGACTTGCTGGGGCGTCAGGGGCACTGGGAACAGAGAACATCGTGCAGCTCTCCAAACCAGCAAAGGCTCAGCGATAGGACAGAGACAGAGTTGTCCTTTTTGCTGTGTCTTCCAGCCCACCTGTGGCCTCCCACTGACCCTGGGGCCCAGCGACCTCCCACCAGTGATGAGCTTCCTTTTTTTTTAAACATCTACATAAGCCTAATTGATTTGTTCTCCTACACACCAACAACAGAAGCCTAAGGCTGTTTGCACTCCACACTTTTCGCTGGAAACAGGCTGTGAGTCACCCGGTAGTAGCAGCCCATGAAGACCAGAAGCACCCAGGGTTCTAGCTGCTGACTTGGTTCAGTCCTTGTAGGGCGAGTACCCAGGCCAGCCTGTGCTTGGCCCTGGGCAGGGCTGGGCGGGCAGGCCAGTGGCCTGAGGTTTCCTCTAAGGGCCTCGCACCTAGGGCATGCCAAGTTGAACATGCCCGATGAGATTCAAAGGTACCAGGAGGGTTACTTGGCAACCAGACACATGGACACAACACACAGACATTTCACAAGTGCAGTTGCTGTGTTTCTTCTTAATTTTGTTTGTGCTTTATTTTGGATCTGGGCCTCTTTATATAGTTCAGGCTGGACTTGAACTCAACTGTGGTGATCTTCCTGTCTCAGCCGCCCAAGTGCTGGGATTATAAACACGCACCACCACATCTAGTTTCTTCCTAATTTTGTACAAAAAAAGCAGCATTATTTGAATGAAAGGACTTTTAAAGCAAAACTAAAAATCATTGGCTTACAAAGCAACTATTCCCCTTTTACTTCATTCACTCTTTATCCATGTGAAGATTTTTTTTCATACAGCTGTTAAAGTATAGGAAGAATTTGGAATCCAAATTATTCCTATTTATCTAATTTTTTAAAAATAATTTTATTGAGACCTATTTATCTAATTGTATAACAAACATTCCTGCCACTGCTAAGAAGTTCTGAGAGTATGTTTGCTGACAATATAGTACTCCTTCCCTTAGTTATTGAGCAGTTGTAGAACACTTAGACTGTTGCCAAGTTTCCAGAACACATTTCAACAAATAACGTGGGCAATCATGCACACAGGTTCTTTTTCCTTTCTTTGCACTCTGAGGTGCAGAATGTATCCCCAACCCCAGGAATCAAACAATTCTTAGAGCCTAGACCTTAGTATGTCCCAGTATTTCTTTGCCAAGGGCCACCTGGGCTAATGATTAATGTCTGTGTTATAGTCACCACGGTCCTGAATGACCCCAACCCCATCTGGCTGGTGGGTCGGGCTGCAGAAGCTCCCTTTGTGCTGAACGCTGTCATCCGATACCCCGTGGAAGTCATTTCATATCCTTTCAGATAGAGCCAGCGCTGGCTCAGTCTCCACGAAGAAGGGAGGGTTCTTCATAGGTCTGGAGGAATGAGATGTGGCCAGCCTTCTGTTGGACAGTGCCCCATACAGAGGATGCCACTGCCATTCGTTACAGGAAAACAATTCATTTCCTGTTCCTCTTTCCTCTGGAGCTTTTCTATCTGGGTCAGGGTCATCCATATTTATGTCCAAATAATCTTGATTATTCCTTTTATCCTGGGGTATTTGAGGCACTCTTGCCATTTCCTGTCTGACCTAACCCGTGGGGTAACTCCTGTCCTTAACCATCCTACTTATCAGCCGGGATTCTGGGAGATGATCAAGTTCGCCTGGGTCCAGTATGTCAGCATCCTGCTTGTCTTCCTCTGGGTGTTTGAAAGAATCAAAGTATTTGTGTTTCAGAATCAAGTGGTGACCACCATCCCTGTGACAGCCGTGTCCCAGGGAGACTTATATAAGGAGCACTTATCCTGAGAAGACCATTTCTGGAGAGTCTCTGCCCCATGAGGAGAGCCAGGATGCCCGTGGCCTTGTGTGGTTTCCCCTGGAGGCACAGCTCCTTCCGTGTTGCTCTGGGCCAATTCTGTGTCTGCTAAGCACTGGACAAAACCATTGGTTTGTGGGGAGGCCTGAGGGCTCCAAAGGCTATAGCTTGCTGTTTTTGTGTGTTTGCTTGCCTTGCCCTTGAATTTCAAGAGAACCTTCCAGTCAGTGCAAGCATCTTGGAAAGAGTCCCATTTCTGGTCAAGGAGAGCCCATCGCTCTTTTGAACTGAAAGCACTAGGCATCTATCTCTTCTCTCTTTTGTAGTCCCCTTTGACTCCTTTCAGGCTCCTGATGATGAATATGCAAATCTCTGGCACTTTCTACTCCCGGGATCTACGGTTCCCATTCAGAGCTTTGATTTCCAGAAGGAGGCCTTCAGCTGGCAGGCGCAAGAGCAAGCCCTGTAAACCCATGGGGTGGGGGCAGCACTGGGGCCATCCACCTGCCCTCAGCCTGACAGCCGGTGTCTGTCGCCAGCCCAGCAGAACAGCCCTCATGTCTTCCCCATGTCTGTGCCCCTGGAGCAGCCGTGCTGTTTCCCTGAGCCCCTCACAGCAGTGGGTGGTGCAAGAGTTGTAACAACAGGTTCTTTCTCTGGCCCTCACCCAAAAGCTTGGACACTCACTGCCCCCCTCGGCTGCCCACTCCCTTCCTGAGAGGACGTGCATGACAGAGGAGCCTTTGTTGGTGTTGGCTCCGCTGCCCAACAGCCCCAGCATTTATTTGGAGGGCTCGTGGGAAGCACAAATCCTTGCGCTGCCCTTGACTGAGAACAGGTTGCCCAGTGCAGGGGCATTTATTTGGGGGCTGGTGGGGAGCAGGAGGGGCTGAAGAGGCTGCTGGGCTGGCTGGGCATGCCGTCCTGCCTGGTCATTAGAGGGAAGACAGCAGCCTGGCGGCCTTCCTGGTTGAGCTGGTGTCTGCAGGGTGGGGGCGGCTGGAAGGGGGCTTTGTCACATGGAAGACATTGGTTATTCAGCCCATTCCCACCATGGGCTAGTGTGCAGCCTCCTCAAAGGCCAGATGGGGCTGCTTTAAGGTCCCCAGGGTGTCATCAGCACCAGAGAGACATACCTCTGGACCCAGGCTTCCTGCCCACCTACAAACACTCGTCAGTGTGTGCCTCAGTTTACCTTGGGAATGCTGTTATTAGTTCTAGAGCATCTTTTCTTTCATGCTGATCAAAATAAGAGTTTTATTTATTTGTGTGTGTGTATAT